CAAGAGGTTGAGCCCCACATTGGGCTTAGGGGAGAGTCTGATTGAGATTCTCTCTCCCCCTTCCTTTGTCCCTCCTCCAGCTCTTGCCCTCTTTCTCTCTCCCCCAAATAAATTAATAAATCTTTTAAAAAAAAGAACTTCACTCTTAAATTCAATTTCTGGGGGTGCCTGGGTGGCTCAGTGGGTTAAAGCCTCTGCCTTCGGCTCAGGTCATGATCCCAGGGTCCTGGGATCAAGCCCCGCATCGGGCTCTCTGTTTGGCGGGGATCCTGCTTCCCCCTCTCTCTCTGCCTGCCTCTCTGCCTACTTGTGATCTCTGTCTGTCAAATGAATAAAAAAATCTTTAAAAAAAAATTCAATTTCTGCCACCATAATCTTGCAACTAGATTTGACTTCTCTGGAAATGAACTAGGTTTTTACATATTCAACAAAAATTTCTAGAGCACCTCCATAACCAAAGCAAGGTGACTGTTTTCTGTCTCACAGCCTTCTTAACTCTCTGAGTCTGGAGGAAGGGTTGGTAGGGATCCTCTTTGCTTCTCACTGCCTCATTTCCTTAACTTCCTCTCTTCAGATGTTCTTATCTGTCATGCTACCTCAGTCACTTACTCTCATAGTCATAACTTAGACCTTGTCCTTGCAAACAGCTGTAACGTTTTCCTAATTTCAAGGTCAAACATTCTGTTTTCTGAACATTATGTCTTCTGTGTTGATGACTAGATTTATTTCTCTAGGCTCATGTTTCTAATGAGTCATAGATTCAATAGTTGATAGCTTACTTAACTTCTCCACTTAGATGTCTAACAGACATTTCAGATTTGCAGTGTCCAAAACAGAATTCTTGAACCCCCACCCACTCCAAACACACCATCTGTTATTCTTTGTATTACCCTCGTTTTAGCAAGTGACACCATTCTTTGTTCATTTCGATACAAATCTAGCCATCATTCTCAATGTCTCCTTTTTCCTAAATACTATTATCCCCTCCATTAGCAACTCTGGCTCTTTCTACTCACAAAATGTATTCTTAAATGTGTCTAGTTCTCTCTGTCGTTGTAACTACCCTCTAGTCCAAGCCACCATCATCTTTTCCCTGGTCTATGGCCCCAATTGCCCTCCCTCCACACCTACTTCCTTCCCACCCAATCCTCCTATAACAAGTCACTATATATATATATATAGATATATACTTATATATCTATATATATATATAGCAGACTAAAGGACCTTTGTAGATCAGATCAGATCATGTCACTGCCCCGGTCTAACACTTAGATTTCCACTGCAGTTAAAGTCCAATTTCTTTATCATGGCTTACCTGGGTCTGCAAGCCTCTGACCCTCTCTCTGCCTCTCAGCATCTGCTCTTGTCCTCTCTTTTGTTCATTGTGTCCCAGACACCAGCCTCCTTTCATTTACTCCTCTACATCTCCCCTTCTTACAGCATGAAGTCTGTGTTTGATTTTGATATTTCTCTGTCTGGAAATCTTATCCTTCTCTTTGTTCCAAAGATAACTTCTTGTTGTCCTTCAGGTTTTATTTTATACTTCAGCCTTTCTGATTTGCCCTCCTTGATCACACTCCCTAAAAACAAGCCCCCCAAAGTACGTCTTTAACTGCCATTTGTTTATTTCCTTTATGACATGTCTCATTCCTTTCATTGATTATTAAACCATGTTGCTATGTTATGGCTTTCTCTTCCACATGAAGTGCAGTCTTAGGATTTTTATGGACCCTGTTGTCTGCCTGTTGTATTTGCTTAAACTAATAAATTACTTAACAGGACTCTTGGGGCAATTTGCCCCAGATTTTGTCTTAAAGATATCAAAGTCTAAATCTCTGCTGAGCTTCTTAATTTCAGTATTGCTAGGATGCCATACAAATCTTTCAATTTATCTCTTATATTCTGAATGTCGTTGATGGAGTTATTAGCTTCAGCAATCTTCATTTTGAACTCTTGCCCATTAATATTTTATTGTTCTCTTCTTCCTGCAGCTAAGAAGATTAGGTTACTTGACAATGGGAGAGGTTCTGTTTTACAAATGTGTGCTCTTTCTTTTATTGAAAATTTAGAATGTGAGATTGTACTTTTCTGTGTTATCTGGTACCATTATCCTAATTCAGTTTCATTGGTACACTTGGAAGATAGTGGAAAAACATTTGGGCTTTTGGTTTTGACCAACCTCTACATTTACCATCTTGCTCTTCCAGAACAAAAGTGAATATATTCATGACAACACTGATAGTGTTGAAAAGACATGATGAAAGACATCAGAAAATGTGAGATTTTGATAAATATCTGATAGTAAGAAGTAAATAGAATCATAATGAGGTAAAGCAGAGCTAAGCAGACACAGCCCAGAAGACATGAAAGGCCACAGTGTAGGTAGTAGAAGTTTACCCACAGCACATACAAAGAACAGGAATGGGAAGTAGATCAGAAATAAAAAGTATAATTGAAGGCTGTGAAGAGAATACAGTACATATCAGCATCCATCCATCCATCATGTATGCAGTGATAGGGTTTATCCCTTTGTTGAATCCGGGTTATATTAAAAAAAAATCTGTATGAGAGGATATGGTATGCTAGTCTGAGAGATGACACGTGGGGCTGGTGGAACATTCAGGCCGGCTCTCAACTTATGAACCTAAGTTAAAGGCAGTTGTGGGATACTTCTACCCCCATACAACGTGCTTGGATTGGCAGATTCTAGGGAAAAAATGGATGAGTAGATAATGTGTTGGCATCTATAGAGGGACACATGCCAGCTATTTATCTTTGTGATAAACTTACACTTGAGGTAAGGTTACACTTTGTGATATACTTACACTTGAGGGACCAGGTTGATTAAGTGTAAATTTGAAAATACACAAAGTAGTGCCAGTTATTTTAGGAAATCAGGAGTACAAATAAAGGCCTAACTGATCGAATAGAAAAACTGACTCCAAGGACCAGAAAAGAACTTTATACATTTTAAATGAGTGCCCTCAGAACAATTTGAGAAAGTATCAGATTTATAAAATTTTCAAATTTTACAAAATTGTATTTATAAAATTTAATACATTTAAATGCTAAAATTAAAAATAAAATCAATGAAATGCCACAAGAAAACTTTGAGGAAATCTCTTAAGACATAAAACAAAATGATGAAGAAGATGGAAAAGATGAAATAAAGTTAAAAAAACTTGAAGGGCAATCTAGGAAGTCCAACATAAATTTAACAGAGAAAGGAAATTGAAGAGAGAAATTAGAGAGAAAGCAATCATCAGAGAGACAATATAAAAAAGTTGTCTATATCTGATCAATACTATGGCTTTGTATTAAAATGATCCACTAAGTTGCCAGCATTTTGGATTTTAGGAATTCTACATCTACACACACATGAATTTCCAGAAACCTGTGATAGAACACAGGTTGCATCATCTTCCAGAGATTAAAAAAAAAGAAAACTAAAAAAAAAACAGTCACTACAGAAGAATGAGAATCAGACTGGCACAACACTGCTCACCAACTAGCAGTCATGAAATTCTGAAAAATAATTTTTAAGTATGGAATTATGTGCCTAGTGAAACAATTAATTCAATGTGGAGACAGAGTATGATATTCTGGAATATACTAGATTTCAGAAAATTTACTTTCTACACATCTTTTCTGAAGAACATTATTTGAGATGGACTTTGACAAAGCAAAACAGAAATCCAGGAAAAAAGGCAGAGATGGGATCCAGCAAACTGGGGATTTAATCAAGAGTGCCATGAAAAAAATAAAATTCCAGAATCACAGTTGTATAGGTAAATTAGTCCATATATGAACAGATAGTCACAGGCTAAGAGAGAACAACTTTGGGAAGAAAGTGAATTTTCTGTAACTATAAAATTAAGAAACTAGAGTAAAAAGAAAGATCATTAGAAATCCCAACACAAATCAAAACGTAATATGAAAAAAAATCATTGCCTAATATGAAGAAACTCAAATGGACTAATTATAGAGCTGTAAGAAATGAGAACAAATTTGTGCATGATTCAACAAGCACCTCAGTTTTAGTGACATAGGGTTACATCTCTTTTTCTTTGGATTCAATCCCATTATTTGTTGACTAATAGTTGACTATAATAACTGTAATATTTTGAATATGAATTGGAATCATTCTATGGACAAACTTCTGAAAAACTCACTTCTTGTATAGAACAGATTGTAAATATTCTAAGACTTGACATGTGAAAGTAGAGTTACAGATAACAGGTTGGATAGTGAAACAAGGCAAGTAAATTATCTTATTTTACAAATGGGAGTTAAAAATTGGGTCAAGAAATATCTACACTGTTACAAGTAGGAGTATGACCATTAAAGAAGTAAAAATACGTATTGCTAAGAAAAACTGGAAGAAGCAAAGGTAGTTAAACATCTTTATCTCTCATATAAAGGAGTTCAAACCCTTGTATAAAGCTGGGAAATCACTGAGCTAACTCAAAATAATGAACATTTTATTTAAAATTATTTTAAAAATCAGAACAACTAAAAAACAGAAATAATTAAAATAGTTCTCTTTGGGGAGTGAAACTAGGTAGAAACTAGGAGGCCAAGGAGAGGAGAATTTAGCTTCACGTTTTGTGTCTTTCGGTATTGTTGGATCTTTTACTTCCTTATGAACATATTATTTAAAACATTCAAAATTAGACTAGAAAATAGTTTCCAAGAAAAGGAGTGAGTTTAACAGTAACACACTAAGTTAGAAGTTGTATAACACTCCTTTAGGTCAACACAGCGTGTTTGTTCTAGTGCGACAGATGTTTTTCTAATGCTGGTGCTGTGTTGGGGAGCAAGGTTAGTGTACGTCACAGGAAGTTGTGCACATCTAATCTGGTTAAATCAGTGTTCTCCCCGCCGCATGAGAGCGGCTGAGCGGGAAGCTTACGCACTGCCTGACCTGGGGAGCGTCGCGGCGCCCCCTTGCCCTGCGCCACTCGGCCCGGCGCCATTTTGTGAGCGTCTGCGCGGCTGTCAGGGTCTCATGTCCCTCACAGTATGGAAGCCGCGGCCTCGTTCCACTCCCGCCCACAGATTCTTCTCTGATTTCAAAGGTAAGGCCTTGTTTTTACCTCAGCATTTATTACAAATTTCACGTTGAAAAAAATGATACTCTTATGTCCATTAGGATTGTTACTATTTGTCTTGGCGCTTTGGTTTCGAGGTGGCATGGTTCTAAGTGGTCCCTACCTCTACCTTTCCTCCACAAATACAGGTGTTTTTGGAGTGTGATTTGAAGTTTCTTTGATGTCACTTACATTGAATTATAATAGGAAAATCTGTATTTCTTTGTAAATGCTTTTTTATTATAAAAACTTCCACACATGTACAGAAGTAGACTCAGTGGTATATTGAACACTTATGAACTCGTTATCCTATTTCAACAATAATCAGCTCCTAGCGAGTCTTATTTCATCTCTGCAGTCTTTTATCTTCTCTCTCATAATATTTTGATGTAGATTCCAGAAACGTTATCATTTTATTTGTAAATATGTATCTCTAAAATGTAAAGAGTCTTTCTGTAACATAACCATAATTCCATTATGATACCTGGAAATATTAAAATAATTTATTTGAACAGCCAGTCAATACTGTATTTGTACTGTGTGTGTGTATGTGTGTATATATGTATATACACATCTGTATATGTATGTATATGTATATACACATATGTATATACATGTATATGTATAGATGTATATATACATATGTATATGTATACATATGTATATGTATATATGTGTGTATACATATACACAGATGTATATGTATATACATATACACACACATATATAAACAAACACATATGTATATATTTGACATAAATTAAAATAAAATTATTATTGCCCTAGTATTAGAAAACAAAGTATGCTTGAATTGAAACTTTAAGTTGTGACTCCCCTTTCACTTCCAAATTGAGTTATTATTTTTATTAAGTGCAACTCAGAAAGGTATCTTCTTACTCTTGACGATACTGGGCAAGAAACATTCTATCAAGACAGCAGCTTATGCCAAGGGTAGGTGAGAGGCTGGTATAGTCAGTAATAACTGTGGCTCCAAGGTCCAAACGTCCCAGAGACCTTGGGAGAGTGGAGGTGAGCCTCCACATGACAGTTTGCTTCTCAGCAGTTTGACCACTCCAGTCTTCTGTGATACTTCCAATCTTCAAAAAGGATGACCACCTTCAAGAATATTTACATTTCTCCGCTAGATAAAAAGCATCCTTGCTGCTCTCATTTTTTTAAGAAACTTAGTTGTCAGTTTTTCATTTTTTTCTCACGTCACCTCACTGGTTTCATCCTTTTCTCAATCCAAAAAAAAAAAAAAAAAAGACAAAACACCAGCCAGATGTGTGATGCCTCAGTATTTCTCCCCAGTATTTCCTTGTTTTCCTTAGCACTTCACCACCCTGATGTTTTGTTTGTGGGATTGATTTTACTTTGACTCTAGTTTGAAATAAGTAAATACATATAGATATATTTTCTTTCTCTCTCTCATGCATGATATCTAATATCCATCATCTATCTATCATCTGTTTATCTGTTGGCAGAGTTCTGGTTTTAAATTACAGACACATCATTTCCTAACCATGTAAGTTTGGGAAAGTTATCTAATCTCCTCATTTGTCAAATGTTATAGGGTTGCTAGGAAGATTACATGAGTTATGTGTAAAGTGTTTAGTATAGTGACTAGAATATGGTATATGCTCCAGGAAAGTTCCTAATATTATTAACTACTTGCCCAGTAAATAATAGTGTACTTAAATAGCTGCTTAAAACTTTTAAAGTTGTCAGCACTGATTTTTCCTTATGTTAAAATACCAATCACGCAGTAGTTTTGTGATTTATTCATTTTAGCTTCTATCAGTGGATGTTGCCTGTGGTAATTATTAGTGTGATGTTCTAATGATGCTTTCTTAATTTCCCTTATTCCTTTTATGTTTATTAATTGTTTATTAATTAAAATTTTTCTATAGAAGAGTTATCCCTTTCCCCCCATTTATTTACTAATATAGTTATATATTAATATCAGTATAGATTTATGGATACTTAGTTTATTGTTTGGGTTTTAAAAAATAGTATTATCATTTATTTTGTTACTGTTCTAACTTTGGCTATTAGGAGCTATTTCAAGTTGTCTCCTGCTGTGCCCTTTCAGTATGTTTTTTTGTTTGTTTGTTTGTTTTGCCATTTCCTTATTTTCTGGCAACACAAGATGCTCCAGTATCATTTACATTTTCTCTGCCCCAGCACTGAAGTCAGCCAGGGGAATACCATATGGAAGAATATTTAGAAACCAAGATCTGGGTGCTAGATATTGTTAAGTATCACTGTTTCTGGTTTCTTTCAGTGAATGGAAGACGGAAATAAAAGTAGGTACACTTACTCATTCATGCACATACATATATATTTCTGTTTCTTTTTCTCTGCATACATAAAAATAATACTGTGAGTTATATTCTAGCCTTGACACTTATTTCTTTTTTCTCCAACAGTGAGAAATCTTCCTTCCATTATCTGCAATGTGTTTGTGTTTTTTTCCACCTAATATACAAATAAAGTAGTTTTAGAATTGCAAATCTATACTCTTGGAAGAAACAAATTTATCAGTTAGAGTACAGTGTTTAAATTCTTTTTGTTTTGAGTCTTACCATTATCTAGCACTGTTTTCCAAAGTTACATCAGCAGTGTTTACTCCATCCTTCTTCATTATGGTTATGTTATTCATTTGTAATACAGTCTGCATTGCATCTTTCCCATCCTCACTGATTGGTTTTAGTTTATGGAAGGCAAAATTTACTGAGTGTTGCACAGTTCAATGGATTTTTGCCAAGTGCATAGAGTTATATATCCTTCATCACATTTTCAGTCTATTCCATTAGCCCCCCAATTCCCTGTGCTGTTCCTTTGTAGTCAGCCCCTCCTCTCACACCTCAGTGCCTAGTGGCTACTTATTTGTTTCCCACCCCTGTAATTCCGGAGCATTATACAAATGGAATTATCTGTAGCCTTTACATCCTGGCTTCTTTCTCTTAGCAAACTGCATTTAAGATTTATTCATATTGTTATGAGCAGTTCGTTGTTTTTTATTGCTAGATGGCATTTCATTGAATGCATGTAACACACAGTTTATCCATTCACCAGTAAAGAATCTCTGGGTCATTTCCAATTTGGGGGGCTTATGTATAAACCTGGTGTAAATATTTACATGCAGATTTTGTGGGAACATAAGTTTTAATTTTTTCTGAATAGTTACTTAAAAGTGGATTGTTGGATGATATGATTGGTGTGTGTTTAAATTTTTTTAAAAGATTTTATTTATTTATTTGAGGGAGAGAGTGAGCATGAACAAGGGGTAGGGGCAGAAGGAGAAGCCGACTTCCTGCTCAGCAGGGAGCTGACTGGGCGCTCAGTCCCAGGACCTGGAGATCATGACCTGAGCTGAAGGCTGACGCTTAACTGAGCCACCCAGGTGCCCCAGGGTGTGCTTAAATTTATAAGAAACTGGCTGTACTTTGTATTCTTATGAGCAATGTATGAAAGTTCTACAATATACCATTTTGTCTTTTCTGTGAATACCCATCTGTCTTCATGGAGAAAGAGCCTTCTAGAGGGTGCAGAATTCTTCAACTTCTGGAACTCCCAGGGGCTTCACACTGTCCCACTACCCCTCATTCGACCTTCACAAGTTTGTCAGTTATTCTGCTTCACCTCTTCTCCCATTTGAGGAAAAGGAATATAAAAAATTAATGCAAGAATGAAAAGGCACATGGAATAACAAACATCAAATTAAAAGTAGTGATTATCTCTGTTAGGAAGGAAGAAGTACAAGTGGAGATGGAAATGTAAAAATCTTCATTGTATTGATAATGTTCCATTTCTTGAGTTGGGTGATGATATGATTATTATATTATCCTTAATACCCTTGTGCATGTTTAAAATCACATGAAATTAAATAATAAACAAATAGAACAAAATAAAACTAAATTGTAAACCCTAAGTAGAAGCCAATTTAAAAAATAGTGTCATGGGATATTTTTTCTCCCTTATGTATGTCTGTATTACTTTATTCACATATTATTTTTGTACTTTTTAAACAAGATTTTATTTATTTATTTGAGAGAGAGAGCATGAGACGGGGAAGGATCAGAGGGAGAAGCAGATTCCCCGCTGAACAAGGAGCCCAATGTGGGGCTCGATCCCAGGACTCCAGGATCATGACCTAAGCTGAAGGCAGTTGCTTAACCAACTGAGCCACCCAGCACCCTTATTTTTGTACTTTTTAAAAAAGCATGTGCCCTTATTTTTGCAACCCTTGGGCTTGCCAGGTTTCACACATTTCAGTCACTTTGTTGATATGAGAGGTGTCATAAAAGCCTCCCTTGTTTATAAAAAGATCAGGGGAAGTCAATTATCACTATGCTAAAGGGTTGAAATTGGGACAGGGTTTGGGGCTAGACTGATGTGGAAAAGTTCCAGAATATCACAAATCTTGGGTTTATTTGAATCGTCCCCTATGCAAAAGCAACATGTTTTGGAATCAGAGATACCACAAAGAAAAATCAGGTCTTCCTTTCTCACTACATGAAGTTAAATTTTTCTTAACTTCCATTTCCTTAGCTTTTAAGTGGTAATAATAAAAACTCCCCTGTACAATTATTTTGAAGTTTATGGATATCTGACATGTAACCCAGTTGTGCCCAGGATTTAGCTGCATTTATCAAGTGCTCAGGATCCAGACAGGACTGAAGATCTGGGGTTTCTTATCCTCCTGGTGATAGCTGAAGTGGGAGTAGATGAGATCACTAGGTGGTGTGTGTAGAGAACAGGGACAAGGACTGAACCTTCAGTTACAGGTAGCATTGAAGGACAGAAAGACAAGAGGGGGCTAAAAAGAGGTGGCTAGGGTGTCAGGAGGAACCAAAGGAAGCCAAAGGAAGAAAGTGAGGTGTGGTCAACAATGTCAAATACCGAAAAGGGGCAGGTTCTAAGACTGGAAACAAGTCCACTGATTTGCCAATTTGTGGTCACTGATGACTTTTGGCAGTCACAAT